TTAAATTGCATTTTAAAACATATCTAGGTAATATAAATGATAAAGAATGCTAATATAGATATAAAATCGATATTTTTTTGAAAATAGCCTACTATGATCAAAACCGAATATAAATGATAAAGAATGCTAATAAAGATATAAAATCGATTTTTTTTTGAAAAAAGCCTACTTTGATCAAAACCAAAAATGCTTTAAATTGCATTTTAAAACATATCTAGGTAATATAAATGATAAAGAATGCTAATATAGATATGAAATCGATATTTTTTTGAAAATAGCCTACTATGATCAAGACCAAAAATGCTTTAAATTTCATTTTAAAACATATCTAGGTAATATAAATGATAAAAAATGCTAATATAGATATAAAATCGATTATTTTTTTTGAAAAAAGCCTACTATGATCAAGACCAAAAATGCTTTAAATTTCATTTTAAAACATATCTAGGTAATATAAATGATAAAAAATGCTAATTTAGATATAAAATCGATTATTTTTTTTGAAAAAAGCCTACTATGATCAAGACCAAAAATGCTTTAAATTTCATTTTAAAACATATCTAGGTAATATAAATGATAAAAAATGCTAATATAGATATAAAATCGATTATTTTTTTTGAAAAAAGCCTACTATGATCAAGACCAAAAATGCTTTAAATTTCATTTTAAAACATATCTAGGTAATATAAATGATAAAAAATGCTAATATAGATATAAAATCGATTATTTTTTTTGAAAAAAGCCTACTATGATCAAAACCAAAAATGCTATAAATTGCATTTTAAAAAATATCTAGGTATTATAAATGATAAAGAATGCTTATATAGATATAAAATCGATATTTTTTTGAAAATAGCCTACTATGATCAAAACCAAAAATGCTTTAAATTGCATTTTAAAACATATCTAGGTAATATAAATGATAAAGAATGCTAACATAGATATAAAATCGATATTTTTTTGAAAATAGCCTACTTTGATCAAAACCAAAAATGCTTTAAATTGCATTTCAAAAAATATCTAGGTATTATAAATGAAAAAGAATGCTAATATAGATATAAAATCGATATTTTTTTGAAAATAGCCTACTATGATCAAAACCAAAAATGCTTTAAATTTCATTTTAAAACATATCTAGGTAATATAAATGAAAAAGAATGCTAATAAAGATATAAAATCGATTTTTTTTTTTGAAAATAGCCTACTATGATCAAAACCAAAAATGCTTTAAATTGCATTTTAAAACATATCTAGGTAATATAAATGATAAAGAATGCTAATAAAGATATAAAATCGATAATTTTTTGAAAATAGCCTACTATGATCAAAAGCAAAAATGCTTTAAATTGCATTTTAAAACATATCTAGGTAATATAATAGATAAAGAATGCTAATATAGATATAAAATCGATATTTTTTTGAAAAAAGCCGACTTTGATCAAAACCAAAAATGCTTTAAATTTCATTTTAAAACATATCTAGGTATTATAAATAATAAAGAAAGCTTATATAGATTTAAAATTGATATTTTTTTTTTTGAAAATAGTCTATTATGATCAAAACCAAAAATGCTTTAAATTGCATTTTAAAACATATCTAGGTAATATAAATGATAAAGAATGCTAATATAGATATAAAATCGATATTTTTTTGAAAATAGCCTACTATGATCAAAACCGAATATAAATGATAAAGAATGCTAATAAAGATATAAAATCGATTTTTTTTTTGAAAAAAGCCTACTTTGATCAAAACCAAAAATGCTTTAAATTGCATTTTAAAACATATCTAGGTAATATAAATGATAAAGAATGCTAATATAGATATGAAATCGATATTTTTTTGAAAATAGCCTACTATGATCAAGACCAAAAATGCTTTAAATTTCATTTTAAAACATATCTAGGTAATATAAATGATAAAAAATGCTAATATAGATATAAAATCGATTTTTTTTTTGAAAAAAGCCTACTATGATCAAGACCAAAAATGCTTTAAATTTCATTTTAAAACATATCTAGGTAATATAAATGATAAAAAATGCTAATATAGATATAAAATCGATATTTTTTTTTGAAAATAGCCTACTTTGATCAAAACCAAATATAAATGATAAAGAATGCTAATAAAGATATAAAATCGATATTTTTTTGAAAATAGCCTACTATGATCAAAACCAAAAATGCTTTAAATTGCATTTTAAAACATATCTAGGTAATATAAATGATAAAGAATGCTAATAAAGATATAAAATCGATAATTTTTTGAAAATAGCCTACTATGATCAAAACCAAAAATGCTTTAAATTGCATTTTAAAACATATCTAGGTAATATAATAGATAAAGAATGCTAATATAGATATAAAATCGATATTTTTTTGAAAAAAGCCGACTTTGATCAAAACCAAAAATGCTTTAAATTTCATTTTAAAACATATCTAGGTATTATAAATAATAAAGAAAGCTTATATAGATATAAAATTGATATTTTTTTTTTTGAAAATAGTCTATTATGATCAAAACCAAAAATGCTTTAAATTGCATTTTAAAACATATCTAGGTAATATAAATGATAAAGAATGCTAATATAGATATAAAATCGATATTTTTTTGAAAATAGCCTACTATGATCAAAACCGAATATAAATGATAAAGAATGCTAATAAAGATATAAAATCGATTTTTTTTTTGAAAAAAGCCTACTTTGATCAAAACCAAAAATGCTTTAAATTGCATTTTAAAACATATCTAGGTAATATAAATGATAAAGAATGCTAATATAGATATGAAATCGATATTTTTTTGAAAATAGCCTACTATGATCAAGACCAAAAATGCTTTAAATTTCATTTTAAAACATATCTAGGTAATATAAATGATAAAAAATGCTAATATAGATATAAAATCGATTATTTTTTTTGAAAAAAGCCTACTATGATCAAGACCAAAAATGCTTTAAATTTCATTTTAAAACATATCTAGGTAATATAAATGATAAAAAATGCTAATATAGATATAAAATCGATATTTTTTTTTGAAAATAGCCTACTTTGATCAAAACCAAATATAAATGATAAAGAATGCTAATAAAGATATAAAATCGATATTTTTTTGAAAATAGCCTACTATGATCAAAACCAAAAATGCTTTAAATTGCATTTTAAAACATATCTAGGTAATATAAATGATAAAGAATGCTAATAAAGATATAAAATCGATAATTTTTTGAAAATAGCCTACTATGATCAAAACCAAAAATGCTTTAAATTGCATTTTAAAACATATCTAGGTAATATAATAGATAAAGAATGCTAATATAGATATAAAATCGATATTTTTTTGAAAAAAGCCGACTTTGATCAAAACCAAAAATGCTTTAAATTTCATTTTAAAACAAATCTAGGTATTATAAATAATAAAGAAAGCTTATATAGATATAAAATTGATATTTTTTTTTTTGAAAATAGCCTACTATGATCAAAACCAAAAATGCTTTAAATTGCATTTTAAAACATACCCACGTAACCAAAATCCCATAAATGGACGATATATGTAATACACGAAAATCTTCCATGTAAAGTCCATACGTATCATCCATGGATAATCCATGGAATGATATTGTCCTATGAAGATGGACGATATTTGGGAAGATATTGAGTATTACTTCTGTATTACATTGAAGTATAACATATGTAGTACATTTATGTATCACTTATGGATCACTTCTCACGTAACCAAAATCCCTTAGATGGATAATACATGTAATACATGTATATAGTACATGCGGATCATCCATGTATGAAACATGGAAGAATTTAGGGACGTTCCATGTATAGTACATTGATGTAATACATTTGTATTATTTTGTGTATTAAAAATGGATTGAAAAGCCTGAAATAAAAAAGGCTGGATTTTCATTAATTAATGCACATATTTATAATTATAGTTTAACTTATTTATGTTAAACGCTTTATTTATTAAAAAATTACATAATTTAATACTCACAACAATCAAAAAGGCCAATTTACATATGAAAAAAACTTATCACTTAACCCACTTAACTCAAATTATGATTAATTACCTGAAAAATTGTAAATTTTTACTAAATTATACCTGAAAAGAGACAGAAAAGAGAAACAAGAAAGACAATGATTAAAATAATAGATGTTTAAAACATCGTAGACATTTTATACTTTAAAATTATTATTTTCTCTTACCTTATTAATCGATTTTCTACTATATTTCCTATAATTACTCACCAAACAACATTTCTTGCTCCTTTTAATTATTTCCGCTTCTAAATTGTTCGTTTAATTATATTTTCACTTCACAACAATTTTTCAAAACACATTTTTCACAATGTAAACAAATAGTTTTAAAAAATATAATACAGCAAAAATGTTCTTAATTGTCTGAATGGCCAGATTTTTAAAGTGCTACATAAATGTATTACTCATGGACTAAACATGGATATTCCATGTATGTAATACATAAATTATACATAATGTACTGTTTCGGGGAAAGTACATAAATATTCCATCTATGTCAATGGAAAATGTGTGGAATACTTTGGTTACGTGGGTATCTAGGTATAATTAATGATAAAGAATGCTAATATAGATATAAAATCGATATTTTTTTTTTTTGAAAATAGCCTACTATGATCGAATACAATTTTAGCAGTTCTATAGCAATCAATTGATTTTTTAAGTAATTAGTCACGAAATTTTCATATCTTGTGTCAAATGCTAGTTACAAGCATGTTATGATCACACCATCAAAATTCACCACATCCACAATTCTTACATGGATTTTTAAAAAAAGGCAATTAGATTTATTTTCGTATGTCTGTTTACATTAACGGTGAATCATAGTATTTGGAAGAGAATTGTGTCTAATGAAAAATTGTTTTGGATTTAGATGAAAAGTCAGGATGATTGGTCAGTATATCACAAAATACTAGATATTTACAGCTGTTATAATGTTTTCCTATTCTTACAATGTCAAAAATAGAAGTTGACGTTTTTAATAATGAATTTGAGGAAATGAAAACTAAATATGAGGAATTCATAAGCCATTTATCAGTTTATGTCAGGAACATTAAGAGGAATGTCTTCTTTCATGTTCTTGATGATAAAAGAACGAAGGGGAAAATGATCAATATGGCACTAGAAACTAGACCCTTCTTGGCTAAAGAAATTTGGAACTTGCTTGATGACTACATGGATTTCATGAGAAACCTTCCAAGACTTGAAGGTCAAAATTACACAAAAGTGTACACAAACTTCTCAAGAGCTGATCTTGTAAAGAGATTGTTGTTTAAACGTCCTATAATCTTCTATGGACGATCTGATTATTTCATGTTGAGATACAATGGTAAAACTCTAATGGAAGGAGAAGGTTGCTTCTATAATGTCTCTGGATCTTTGGAGAAACAAGATGATTCATCTCCGTACCTACGAGAATATATTTCATACGATGAGAATCTTTTGTCATCCTTAATAGGGATGTCAACTCCAACATTCTACTTTTCTATTGGTTCTGGCAGGTCTGAAATCGGAGACACGAAGAAACCACACATTGATGAAGGTATTTTATGTGGATTAGTTGGTGCACGGAATGAAAAGCCATACTTTATGGAACATCGATTTGTGTTTCCTAATGTTAAGGATCATAACTCGTCAAGTCATCGATCTGACCAATTTTGGATTGAAAAAGTTTACAGCAGTGCTTTTCCAGAAAAAAAGATTCCTACTGCTGAAGATATAAGAAGCAAATCAAAGATATATAGCTCAATATATGTAGAAGGAGTGAATGAAGTTTATCTTGAGAAACGCTTGATGTTGTCTATCTTGCCATACATCCAAGATGCAATATCACGTGGAGTTGAGAAAAAAAGGAATATATTCTGTAGTGTACCTGCGATTGGATCAGGTTTGTGTCTAACTTACTTTTTTTGTTCTAATAATTATCATATTCTTATATTAAGGTGTTTGGGTAGGAGGTATAAGAATTTCAGCTATTCGACGTTTGATTGTTAATGGCTGTTTAAAGTTTTTGGATTCGTTTGATGATCACAAAAAACTTAAGCATTTAAAGGCACTGGCTCTTCCTGAAATAAGCATAAGCTTCTACTCGTCATTCAAATTTCATGGAAATATTGAAGAAATTGAAATCAATATTGACGAGGCAATTATCACTTTTAAGGAACCAGCAGGACACAAATTAACAATCATAAATCGTCCTCGCTATGTCGCAGAATTACTTCCAGATGAGTTTAAAGATTGTATCTCAATAGCTGGATATGCATGGGACGGAAACAGTTATCCAGGAAATGAATATTGGAATGGAGGGATGGCTTCATTTGATCCACAAGCTATTTACTGCTCCTTACTTGGTCAGTTCCAAAATCCAGAAGTTAATGTGAAAATGGCAGATCCAGAAAGAATTCGTTTGTACTGAAATGACTAATAAACGGCATTGAATAATAATGAAGAAGATTGTAACGACTAAAGTTTTGAATATTGTGCATGCAATAAAGTGAGCACGGAAGTTCAATGTTGTTGTTCAATTCCTAGTTTTCCCTCCAAAAATTATTTCAAGCCGCAATTTTTGTTAAATTCGATTTTTTGACGTTTAATTAAATTATTTTATAACCAAAATGGCTGATAACGAACAGCATTTACGTGATCTTCAACGGGAATATCTGGATTTCTTGGATGATGATGTAAGTAACTTATAAATTAAAATTTATATACATTTTTAAAAAACAATGAAATTTACAGGAAGATCAAGGCATTTATACTAGCCAAGTTAAGAACATGATAGCTGAAGAGAGCAAGCGGCTATTAGTGAATATTAATGATTTGAGACGAAAGAATCCAGCAAGAGCACTAGCTTTATTGAATAATGCCTTTGAAGAACAGTTTGCCTTTTCTCGTGCCTTAAAGGAATTTGTACAGTCGATTCAGCCAAGCTATGCTAAAACTCACGAAGAATTTCATGTCGCATTTGAAGGAAGTTTTGGAAATAAACATGTTACACCGCGTCAATTAACATCAAGATTTTTGGGAAATTTGGTTTGTGTGGAAGGGATTGTTGTTAAAGTATCTTTGGTTCGTCCAAAAGTTGTAAGAAGCGTACATTATTGTCCAGCCACAAACAAATTTCTTGAACGCAAATACACAGATGCTACTTCCTTTGAAGCGGTTCCATCAAGTAATGTCTATCCAACAAAGGATGAGGATGGCAATTTACTCGAAACAGAATATGGATTAAGTGTGTATAAGGATCATCAATCTATAAGCATTCAAGAGATGCCAGAAAAAGCACCAGCGGGTCAATTACCAAGATCCATAGATATCGTATGTGACGATGACTTGGTCGATAAATGTAAGCCAGGAGATCGCGTTCAAATTGTTGGAAATTATCGCTGTATGCCTTGTAAGTATGAGCTTTATACGTTTTTAATTATAAGGATTAATAATTGCCATTTCCTTAGCTAAATATGGAGGATACACAAATGGAGTTTTCCGAACTGTTCTTATTGCCAATCATGTCTCATTATTGAGCAAGGAATCGACAGCAAATGTGTCTCGAGATGAGATTAATACATGCAAGAAACTCGCAAAACGAAAAGATATTTTTGAGTTGCTCTCTAAAAGTTTAGCTCCATCCATTCATGGACATGAATATGTCAAAAAAGCAATTTTATGCCTGTTACTCGGTGGAGTTGAAAAGAATTTACCAAATGGAACTCGTTTGCGTGGAGATATTAATGTTCTTCTTATCGGTGATCCATCTGTTGCCAAATCTCAATTACTTCGATATGTTTTACATACAGCACCAAGAGCTATTCCAACAACTGGTCGTGGATCTAGCGGTGTTGGTTTAACGGCTGCTGTCACAACTGATCAAGAAACTGGTGAAAGACGATTAGAAGCTGGTGCTATGGTCTTGGCTGATCGTGGTGTTGTCTGCATTGGTAAGGATATTAATTACTTCTATTTTGTTTTGCATTTAGTAAAGCTGTAATGATTTTTCAGATGAATTTGATAAGATGACAGACATTGACAGAACAGCAATTCACGAAGTTATGGAACAAGGTCGCGTAACAATTTCCAAAGCAGGAATTCATGCCTCACTCAATGCAAGATGCTCAGTCTTAGCTGCTGCAAATCCTGTTTATGGTCGATATGATCAGTATAAGACACCAATGGAAAATATTGGAATGCAGGATTCACTTTTGTCACGTTTTGATTTATTATTTGTTCTACTCGACACAATTGACAGTGATTTGGATAATGTCATTTCTGATCACGTTGTTCGGATGCATCGCTACAGAAATCCAAAGGAGCAAGATGGAGAAGTTTTGGCATGGGGAGACAGTACAGTTGATATGTTGACTACATTTAATCCAGAACTTGAAGATAAGGAAACTCCAGTTTTTGAAAAATATGATCCACTGTTACACGGTGCCACAAGAAAAGCAAATGATCAAATTTTAACTGTCGAGTTTATGAAAAAGTACATCAGTGTTGTTAAATGCATCAAACCAAAATTAACAGAACAAGCTTGTGAATTGATATCCAATGAATATTCTCGATTGCGTTCACAAGATTCTGTCGATTCAGATGTTGCAAGAACTCAGCCCGTTACAGCTCGTACACTTGAAACTTTAATTCGTTTATCTACTGCACATGCTAAGGCACGAATGGCTAAAAATGTGGCAGCTCAAGATGCAAGAGCAGCAATAGAACTTGTCCAGTTTGCATACTTTAAGAAAGTTCTTGAAAAAGAAAAGAAACAAAAGCGTAAACGTAGTGAAGGAGGTGCTGAAGATGATTCTGATGTTTCGGACGAAGAAAGTACTCGTTCAACTACACAGTCAACGACACGCACTGCAAAAAGAACCAAAGTTGTTCATTACGATACGGACGATGAAGATCAAGAAGAAATAAGTACAATGCAAACAGATTCTAATGATGTGACTATTCGTGACACAATAACTGCACCTCGTCCGGAACCAACACCATCAGCCAGTACATCAAAAGCAACACCAGAAGTTATTACAGACGAACGTTTAAGTGTCTTCAAAAATGGTCTACAAAAGATTTTCCGTGAAAGTCGCGAATCAAGCTTGCCAGTTGAAAGGATTGTTAAATACGTCAATGAACATAGCGACGATGTCTCATTCAGTCAAGGCGAAATCTTATCTGCTTTGGAACGTATGACTAATGACAATCAAATTATGGTCGCTGATGAAATTGTTTTCTTAATTTAATTACTTTTTATTATCTTCAACATTTCTATAAGTTACTGTTAAGTTCCAAAGCATATTCTTCATGTTATACATAAAATATCAAGTTTCTCATTCCTGGATATCTCATAGAAATTATCAATAAAGTTCATGTTTTCATGTCACATTTTAATAAATGTTTTTTAAGTGTTGCTGTAACATTAAACAATGTTGCATGTCATATTTAATGTTTGATTGCAACATTGAATGTTACTTGAGTGTCATTGAGACTAAATGTTGCTGTGATATTACAATGCTTTCATTGCAACAAACAACATCTTTCATACTACAAAACTACGTTGTCATGTCACATTGATTTATTAAGTATTCATTTACATCATCAACATAGATGTAGCTAAAAACAAACAAAATCTTCGCATTGGTCCGAAAAGAGTTAATAAAAGCGTTCATAAAAAAATAATAAAAAAATCCCAAAATTAAACCGTGTGAATATGCTTGTTGCTGTATACACTCGTATTTTGCTTCCTATAGTTTCGTTCCCTGCGATAAAGCTTTTTTCACTTCATACTACAAAGGTCTTATCCCCTCATAAAACAAAATTTTCATTTAAAAATTTATTTTATTGACAATAGGGTGCAATCTTAAGCTTATAAAGTGCAAAATTATGTTGTAAGCATTTATTTTTGACAATTGCAAATTGGTGAATGATGGTTTCGGGACTTTATACGACAGCACCACAAGATAAAAGTAAATTGAAAATTTTTTCCATTTTTTTTTCTTCTTCTTTTGCTCTACTTAGAACTTTTTTTTGCTCTTCATTCCTTCTATAAGTTTCGAACTAATGCGTATCATGTATATTTTTAAACAGAAATGAACACTATGCCGTCAAGTGCACCAACTTCTGCAGATGCTTGCTTGAGCATTGTGCACAGTTTAATGTGTCATCGTGTAAGTTTATATGATAGAATATAGCTATGCTATATATATATATATAGTCATCATTAATGGTTTGTTTTTGTTGTTATACGCACATTCATATTATTTTTTTTTTCTTTTCTTTCTATGCTACAGCAAGGAGGTGAATCAGAAGGATTTGCAAAACGAGCAATTGAGTCGCTAGTTAAGAAATTAAAAGAGAAACGAGATGAATTGGATTCATTAATTACAGCAATCACAACAAATGGAGCACATCCATCGAAATGTGTTACAATTCAGAGAACATTAGATGGACGTCTTCAAGTTGCTGGTCGAAAAGGATTTCCTCATGTTATTTATGCACGAATTTGGCGTTGGCCAGATCTTCATAAGAATGAGCTGAAGCATGTTAAATATTGTCAGTTTGCATTCGATCTTAAATGTGATTCAGTGTGTGTCAATCCTTATCATTATGAGCGCGTCGTTTCGCCAGGCATCGACCTTTCTGGATTAACTCTTCAAGCTGGTCCAAGAAGTATTGTAAAAGATGAATATAGTGCCGGGACATCGATGGTTGGAACATCAAATATTGAAATGGATGCAAATGAAATTGGGACAATCCAGCATCATCCGATTCATATTAACATGGGATATTCAACCATGACGATGCATCAAACACCCGGATCTGGTAAGTGTTGAAAGTTGATAATTGATATTGAGTGAAGTGCTGCAATTCTTATTGTTTTAGTTAATTATTTGCATATTCAATTCTTACTCTTTCTCTATGTTGTGTCTGTTGTGCCTGTATTTTGTTTTTGATTTGATTTTTCATTTATTTTTTTTATATTTTTTTTTTCATTTAAAAGGTGATACAAAAAATGCATCCATTATTTATCCACAACGAGTGGTGCCAAAGGTAGAACCCAATAGTGATCCACAAGTAAGAAATCAAATTTGGGGACCACCGACAGCACCACCTCAACAACGTTTGCCACATCGTAAGAGATAAACTTTATTCTTTAATTATTTGTCACTCGCTATTCTTAGTTTGCTTTTCCTCTATTGCTTACCATATATTAACATTAATGTCATTTTTAGCTACTACACATATTCTACCAGTAAGTAGTCCTGAGAATGCCATTTTACAACAAAAGCCAACATCATCTACTCAAACATCACAGCAACAACAACAACAACAACAGCAACAGCAGCAACAACCTCAAATTCCACCGCCTGGACTTTTGAATACCGTTGCTAACTCGCAAGCATCCACAAATCAGCAACAAACACAAGAACAAAATTACTTCACATCATCAACTGATACTCAAATTAATGATTCCCAACAAAATGCTTCCGTTGCTGCAGCATCTCCTGTCCAAATGTCACAAAATGGATATGCTGTCAGCATAAATAACTCAAATGTTCAACAAACACAGTCTTTCACACAACAGCAATGTATTGGGGGTCAAGCAGCATGGACTGCACGTGGATCGAACACGCTAACTTACACGCAGTCAATGCAGCCTCCTGACCATCCTAATTCAAGGGCTATGAATCAAACTTATTGTAAGTAATTCATAATAAATTAAGAAACACGTTTAATTAAAAGTAAATTATCAACTTTAGGGCCACCAATGCAAGCAGAAATGACAGGACAGCAACAACGATTGTCTCGTCAGCCAGCACCTGAATATTGGTGCTCAATTGCCTATTTTGAATTAGACACACAAGTTGGTGAAACATTCAAGGTTCCATCAAGTAAACCTCATGTTACCATTGATGGATATGTTGATCCATCCGGAGGCAATCGCTTCTGTTTGGGTGCATTAAGTAATGTCCATCGTACAGAACAGAGTGAAAGAGCACGGTAAGAATGTTAAAATAAAGTGACAAACTAAAGTGAAACTAATTGTGATTGAATTATTCTAGTTTGCATATTGGAAAAGGAGTTCAATTAGACTTACGTGGTGAAGGTGATGTTTGGCTTAGATGTTTAAGTGATCACTCAGTGTTCGTTCAAAGCTATTATCTAGATAGAGAGGCAGGAAGAACTCCAGGTGATGCGGTTCATAAAATATATCCATCAGCATGTATTAAAGTATTTGATCTACGTCAATGTCATCAACAAATGCAATCATTAGCAGCTAATGCACAAGCAGCAGCAGCAGCTCAAGCAGCCGCTGTAGCCGGAATTCCTGGACATGCTGTTCCACCGAGAAGTATGTTATTATTTTTAATTATAATTTCTATAGTCTCAGAATTCTGAGATTTAACTGTGTACGATCTTGTTAACAATTGGGACTCAATTTAGAATTCAATTTAGATTTAACTGCGGCAGCTGGAATCGGGGTCGATGATTTAAGACGTCTGTGTATTCTTCGCTTGAGTTTCGTAAAAGGATGGGGACCAGATTATCCACGTCAATCAATTAAGGATACACCGTGCTGGGTCGAAGTTCATTTACATCGCGCTCTTCAGCTTCTCGATGAAGTACTACACAATATGCCGATTGATGGACGTGATTAAATTATGATAAAAAAGAAAAAAAAAATATAACTATTAAAAAAAAGTTGACAGTGCAAATGACATTTTAAAAAATGTAATACAGAGAGATTATGAAGTTAGTTGCTTCTAGCAATGATAAAAAAAGTGGTTTATATTTTTTCTAATGCCTCATTCTCATCATGTTGAGATACAAGAGAAGGTGAATATTAAAGAAAAATTAATATTAAATGATTTATAAGAGAGAATGTCCTTTACTTAAGCATATAAAACAAAAAGAAACATTTCTTTTGCTTCAAAACTTACTTTCTATTCTTCATCTTAAAAATTAAGAGATTTTAGTTTTAATTCCTTTACTTCCCCTTTTTCAATGCTTATGAAGAAAAAAAATAATTGTGAGAAAAAAAACGACAAAAAAATCTTAAAAAATGTAGACATTAGTGTGAAAACTTTAATTTTGTAATTTAGTGATGACAAAGAGAAAAAGAATCAAACCTCAATCTTCTGTCAAGTCCCAATTTATTTAGCTATACAATCTTGAGTGAATCAAAAAGTTTTAAAGTGCATTTTTAAATGCTACATAGATGCCATAATAGATGCAATATGCGTTCAACATGTCAATGATCATATTTTATAGAAATTACAACATATTGTTCTTTAACAGTAACCTAATGTCTGGACATATTGTTCTTTAAAGGTTACCTAATGTTCTTGGAAGGAATGTCTATGACTCGATAGAGTTTTGATTTACAGAATTAAGACTAATGTTATCGTGGGATCAATCCAACAAAATAAGTTTTGATCTCTAGAATTCAAACTCTAACTGAAAGTACTTAAAGAATGCTACTGAAATACAGTTCTGATTTAATTTAATTCATATTTTGTAATGTTGAAAATATTCTTTAAATCATTTAAAGAATACTTTCGACATTACAAAATATGAAGCTTCAAGAATATCTTAATAAATGAACAAATCAAGATATATAGTAAGCTCATACAAAGTATACTCGACCTTACTATATTTTGTATACACTAATACAATACTCGATTTTCATGTTTTCATTCAAATATCGATAAATGCATCACTATTCGACTTTAGTCAGATTCTTTAATTAAAAGTAAAGCATTTGAAATGCTCCTGTACCATCAAAACTTAACAGAATGTTGAAAAATTTGTAAAACAAAAATTGAAAATTTTCTTTCATAGTGTTAGTGTTAACAGAAAATTCAAATTTTTGACCGTTAAAAACTATAATTTTTTGGATGATCTCATCTTTATAACTAAGGACAAAGAATGAAACCAATAAAATTACAGTTCAAATATTTGAACCTTATTTACTTTACGATTTCTGATCCGACTGTAGAACGCCAGGTTCTAACATACAAAAGATAACCATAGTGTCTGTCTGAAAGAACATAATTTAATTCAAATTGGATTGTTGTGATCCAAATTAGTCATCAAATTTATTTTAAATAATACTTTGAGATTAATTGCTTTAAGCAGACATTCAGTAACAGATAGACCCAACGACTGCAAACAAAGAAAACTTCAGTTAGATTCGAAAAATTCAAACTGAAATTCGAAAAATTTCGAACTGTTTCGAACTATAAATTTTTTTAAAAAATAAATGATCGTTAGGGAATTAATAAAAATATATTTATTTTGGTTATTTTTTGAAGCAAAATTATTCCTTTTATGTACCAATCGACTTTGAAATTGTAATTTTACTCTAAATTCAACAAAAACTTTTAATAATTTATCAATTGTATCTTCACAATGTTCAAAATCGACTTCAATTTGTGCAATTGCTGTATTGATGAATTTCTGGTTAAAGGAAGGATCAGAACACAAGGTAAAACAATTAAGCTGTCAATTCATAAATTCAAGAATACACAAGAAATATATTTTTTCACAGCAATATTCAATATTATGCAATTTAAGAAATTCAATCCACTTATCTTTATGCACAGAGCTTTTTGGAAGTTCAAGCAAAGGTATTTTATTGGTTTTCTTTCCTTTACAACCAGTAATTACACAATTTCTGACCATTTTAAAAAAAATGAAATCTTATAAATTCAATAAAGACTAAGAAATGCAAACAAATATTTTCAACGGAAATTTTAAATTCAAATCAAGTTCGAAAATGAAGTACCTATTTCCGAAAATGAGTTCTTGTTTGCAGTCGTTGGAGATAGACAAATGGCATTTAAATTAAAAATTAAGCCATAAAACATTAAAATAATGAACATTTAAAAGTTTTGATTCACTCAAAACCATAGAACAGTTGCTCCTTTTTTCAAAGGGCTTAAGATTTTTTTTTTAAATTCGATCTAAGTGAAATAGTAGATTTTACATATTGGACAATTTTTATACAATTATTGTAACCACAATTGACGATAGTTTCTTTCTTTCTTAACAATTTAGTTTCATTTCAAGTAATAAAAAAAAAGTAAAAAAGAGACGATAAATATATTTGGATGCATGCAATTCTAATTTTATACGAGATGAAAAGAAGTAATATATATTAAAAAGAGAGCAAAAAATACAGAAGAAATTATTAATATTGTCATGGCAGTAAAAAAAGATTTGAAATAAAAATTCATTAAAAATTGAGAAAAAAAATAAAAGAAGTCCTCGTGTTATTGATCGAGGGACTTAAGCGCATTCTTGTGGCAGCGATCAGTATTTGATCATCTTATTATTTTGCGTTCGTTTACAGATCATGAGAAGATTAGAAGATCGTTAATTTTAGTGTATTTAACAATTTGTTGCAATGAATTTCCATATAGAAAGGATTTATCATTTAACGTTTTTTTGGAATTCAAATTTTACAACGGCTAGAAAAAATTTGAAATTATTTGAGGTAATGTTGAAATTATAGAGGTAAAAAAAATTTGGGCAGGTTACACTGAAAACAAAAAAAAATCATTAATTATAGTATAAATACACTGTTTCAAGACTTTTAACTATTCGATGGGCCAATAAATCAGTAGTAACGGAGCTAATCAAACATAACTGAGCTCTCTACGATGTCTGGTTAAAAAGTTTTTCTTCACCCGAGCACCCGAACAAAGCGTATTATTAAGCTACCTTTTAGAAACAAGTTTCAAAAATGTTTTTGTTTATTGCAAGATTTTCAGGAAGTTAAGCTTCAGTGCCATAACAATTTCACAGTTTTGCGCGCTTTTTAAAGGAAATGCTTGAAGATCATGCTGCTTGGATTTACGTGCAAAAATATCTTTGATATTGTAAATATAAGTGCCAATAGTTTTAAATGTATTTTGATCTACCAACTTAACTGTCAATTTTTCATCTTCTGGATCTTCTATGAAGAAGTTAAAGTGCTTCTCCCAATTTGCTGTTTCATCTTCAATCTTTGATACTGAAGTTTTCTTAGTTTGATCATAAACTGCAAGTTCTATAAACGGCGATATTTTTGACTTTAGATTTCTTGCGGAATCAACATAAACTTGCAGAACACACTTGTCGCCATTCTCTTGCGTTATTGGAAGCCAGCAAATCTTGCTGGAAATCACTTCTAATGATGGTAAATTAAAATCACCAGCAATGCATTTCTGTTCTTTGATCTTTTGGAGATTGAAGGATATTCTATAAGGGATAAATGAAAGAATGGAAATCTATTTTTATGGAAATTTTCCTTAAATGCTTATTAGGATCCATAAAATGGTTAAAATAAGAATCACAGTCCCTATAAGTTAACCGTGCACAGGGGCGTAGCCAGGTGCGCCATAGGGGGCCCGGGCCCCCCCTACGAAAATCTGATAATTGTTTTATTAAGTATTTATAGAGAAGAACCAGTTAATGTAGACGAAGTGATGAAAGAAATGTCAAAATCAGCACGAAAAATCAAATTTAATGTATGAATAATGAATTAAATATTTAAACTTATGAAGAATGAATATAGATTTAAGGATACAAAATAACGGTTTTTTAATTTTCGAAAATGCCCCCCCCCCCTTAAAAATTTTCTGGCTACGCCCCTGACCGTGCATCTCCTTAACCTTTTAATACGACTTTGATAACATTTGGTTCAACTATCTTCAACCAGATGTTAAAAAGAACAAATAATGTCGAGACACGATGTTTAAGATCATGTTGTTAAAACTATAGTATTTAACTTTAAGTCAATTGACCAACAGCATTTAAGTCTATAAGACGATCGGGTTAATTCTGTTAACAATATGCAAACAATCTATCAATGTTATGACTTTAAAATCCAATACTTGGTAAATTTTCAGGCATTATTGCTGATTCCAGACCTTAGTGCTGATTCCAGACCTTAGTGCTTAAACAAAAGATATTACACTTACGTTCCAATCTTTAAGCTTTTGATCTCCTCATCCTTTTTATATAATGTCATGTGCACCTCTACATCTCCATTTTTAAAAGCTATCAAGTCACGAGAAAATGTTAATTTAAAGGAATTCGATTCACTCTCTGAACTGCTGATGACGGGAGTTCTTATATAGTCTTGACCTAGATCAACTGTTAAAAAAATGTCACTTCCTTCGACGTTATCCACAGAATAAATGCTAGCTCTGACAATTCCTTCTATTTCTGGCATAATGAATGCTGTTGATGGAGCATTTTCATCTAATTTAATGTGTAGCTTATTAGGATATACCATCGATAATGATATTTGATCTTTTAACATCGATCGAATCAATTCACCAGTAGCGAACATATCAAGACTTGCCAGTCCTGATGTTAATTCAAAATTGGTATTTGGATGTTTGAGAAAATAAATTTGAATAGCTGATACGATTGGAGTTCTAGAGACAATGGGCTTCATAACTATCCTTAGTACACCTTCAAGTTCAATGTCCTTGATTCCACCTTCGATGCCATTCAAAGAGAAACTTATTTCCAAATCTCCAAAATAACAAATATGCAAATCCCAAATTATTTCGTCTACAAACAACTGATTTTGGTTGTAGACCTTGATTCCTGTTATTCTAGGAGACTGAAAAGTTGAAATTAAGTTTATGACAAATTACGTAATCTGACCGAACTTACAACTTTTCCAAAATCAACTTTCTTGATTGTAAAATTCCTCAAAATTTGATTCTGCTGCAAAACAGGCTCGAGATCCTTCAAACTTTTTAATACAATGCTGTTAATGTGTGGCCACAATTGATTTATAATTTTATTGATCCACTCACAACGTTCGTGATCTGGAAACAGTACCCATGCTGGAATTTCATCAAGTCTTGAATAAATCGAATCCTGTTCATTCATTTTCAGTGCTGCATGTGTAGCTGCTTTGTTTACAGCTCTTTTATTACGTATGTGATCTTGAATTGATGTGAAGAATAGAGGAACGATCCACGCAAAGGAATAATTCAGTCGTCCGAGAATGTAAACGATTGTAAATACTAGAATTTTGCTGCATGTCCAGAAGATATCGATATTCATTTTTGATGGTAAGATTTTGAATTTAATTTTATGTTTTTTTTTTGTTTTTGTAAATTTCTAAAGGTTGCGTTGATGAAATGAAGATTTGATAATTTTTAACTAGGTTTGAAATCTAGTCCTACTCTTAGAGTTAAGATCAGCAGTTCTAAAGATCACAAAAAAATAGATTTTAAATTCGAGTTCCTCTAAAATTCACAATTCTTTATTAGTGATTCAAATTTGAGTTTATTATTATTTATTCATGAGGAAATAAGGAATTTGAGTTTAAAGAGCTTAAAATTTTTATTCAGGTTTAAATTAAATCTAAGAGATCGCACAAGCTAGTCATGTTTTCAAAATTATTTACAATCTAATCTTAAAACTAGATTTTCAAAAGACTTAAAAGATATTACAGGCATTTGCATTAGATGTATAGTACCACAGATCCAAAATTTCACTCGGGGATAATCGATTCACTAGCACATTATTTCTGTAAATCCAATAGATTATTTGATATCAGGTAAAAGATAATGCATTTGATTATTAAAATATATATTTTTTTACCTCACTATGCATGGATGATATATGAAACTTCTGGAAGTAAGAAACTTTTTGCTTGCATAAAAATTTCTTTTCAAAAGGAGATCCAACGTGCATTGATTACTGTTGGATGTTGAAACTCTTTTTAACTTGTTGAATATTTCTTTTATTATGGAACCTGTGGATGAAATTGATGATATTGTTACTTAATATTGCTCAATGATTCAGATTCGGAAAAAATTTTCAAAAATTCCTTGTGCACAATATTTTTCCGACACATTAGAAAATTGAAAGTTTTTGTTGATTTCTTTTGATTTGATTCTTTTAGCATCTTCTACATAATGTTTTGATTAATTGCTAAAAAACTCAGTCCATAATATAAAGGATAAACATGATTTTTTTAGCAAAAGTATGTAAAAGTTTATCAAAAAATATTGTGCATGATCAAATTTTGTATGAAAATTTATGTAAACTTTGAACGCAAATATCTCGAAGACGGCATTAAACGGCATGACCATATTAGTATGGAAGATAGATTTAAGCTTAATTAATTGATTTATATAGGTTTCAGAGAGGTCTTTGGAAGACTTTTTAACTTATGAATAGTTTAAGTTTTGTAAAAAGTACTCAGATTTCAATTCCATTTTTAAGACTTAATAAGCAGTTTTCTTTTGATTTGGTAGTTTTAATATGTAAAGCTAAGCTTAACTTAGCAAACAACAGCTATCAAGATATGGAAATAACAACTTAAAGTAGAGAAAATCAAATTTTTTTTTTCAGGTACAAAATGTAAACAAATTTTTGTTGAAAATAAATTAAAGATTTCTGGAGTTAGACATCAAATTGAAACGAGATATTTTCACTGAATATGCCTCAAATTAAGATCTTTAATCTAGCATTTAAAAGATGTAGTTTAATTAATATGGCATTTTTGAATTTTTGAACATTTTTTCCGAATCTGAATCATTGTGAATTGTGGTTTTGGATTTTCTGATTGTTGTTTTGGATTGTGATGATAATGTTAAGTTTTAGAACAAGAATTATCAAGGTTGAATGCTTAAAATAAGCTGTACAACTGAGTTTAATGAAATCTATGAAACTACCAATCGATTAACTTCTAGGTTCATAGTACGCAATATCAATAACTTTTATGACAGTTAGTAAATTGCTATAGCTTACCTGGAGCTGCATATGCACTCAAATCTGGACGGTTCAGATAAGAATCGAATGGAAAATTTAAATAATTTGACATCAAACTTATGATTTTCGATTTATGTGGAATGCTTCCAAAATTCCCAAGAACAACATTTGTAAGAATTTCATCATTGAGGAAATTAAATAAATTTTTGGTATTTATAAAGACATCGTCATGAACATAAAGGAAATATTCTGAAATCTTAAAATATTCCGCAAAATATTTCATGGCAAATAAATGTTCATTATCTGTGCTAATGCTGCCATTGATAACAATCATGTCATTGAATAGAATTGCTTCATCTTTTATGGCTTTATTAACAAGACTCTCAGTAAAATTCATGATGAAGATTGGCTTTATTGATTTTCCCCACGTTCGTCTAATGGCACTTCTTGCCCATTTGTGATCAACTGTTGTCATCACAAAGCACGCGATTTCATCTCTTTGCGGCATAAAAGTTGATCTTGGAAATATCAATTCTGTCACATTATTTGTGTCGAATTTTTCAAGATCATCTCTTAAACACTTTCGATTCTGCAGCAATCGATCTTCCACAACTTCTACGACTACAATCAATGCAAATACTATGTATGCAATTAAGGTACATACAGCAATCACAGACAATACTTTTTTATAATTCATGATTTTTATGAAATTATTGTCAGCATTCCTCACAACGAGCCGTAATCATTGAATTCAATGCGTTAACTAAATTTATTGATGAGACATAAAACTTATAAGCACACACTTATAAACATGATAAGGAGTCACGATAAGAAGTGTTTCGTTAGTGTAATTTTTTGACAGAGCATGAAGCAGAACAAAGTTTGTTGTTGCTATCATAATATTTGATTTCGATCGATGATAAGCTAGCTGCGTACCTTCTATTTGCCTTTTTTAAAACTTGTAAATTTATTTTGGATGTGCAAATATTTTTGATTTTAAAAGAAGGAATCATTGTGCAATGTGAATACGGGTATTGTTAAATTTATGAATTTATTTGAAACTCAAAAGCTAGTTAAGTGGGAAATTCATATATTATGGTAGATGTGTAGCTAGTGATGTATAAGTTGGATTAATGACAAAATTGACTGAATTTTTTCAATTTTCTGGGACTTTTAAGATAATTTTGCTCAATAAAATTCTATAGCTACGTTTAAGCTTATGTTGGTATATCCAATGTTGTAGAGTCCATTTTTAGAGATTGATCGCTCTACGATGAACTTGCCCGAATGCCACAAATCAGTTAATTGTTCAGAAATCCGATAATAAGCTGGTGTGACTATGGCATGGTGCTGGATTTAAATCGAAGCTATTTATCGGATTTTTATTCGATTAACCGACTTGTGCCATTCGGGTTGACTTAAATATGAGGATTGTTCAGAAAGGCAAATTGCATCTTTCGTTATTAGTAATATTCAAATGTACCCTTGGAATCAGTGTTTAAACCTACCCTAACCTACTAAGGATACCTTTTTGACTAGCTCTGTTCAAGAAAACCACCTGACTTCGTCCTAGCTTCACGTGACTCCACAAATGCATCCACACTACTTCCATTTTAGTTTCAGTAATTAATTTTAGTGTTTATAACAAGAATAGGCCTTTTACTTAATGATCCTCTCTTGACAACAATTTCTAGAGCATTTTTAAATCAACTTAAAATGTTAAAATCATAGCTAAGCCATTTTTTACTAAAAATTTCTCAACCCGGTATAAAAAAGTATTGAAATGATAAGATTAGTAGTGCTGATATTCAGAAAAATTTGTCACTTGCTATATTGAACATGAGTAATTGTGTACGACATGATATGTATTAAGGTAGACATTTGTTTATTTTGAAATTTTTAATTGACAAAATTTTGTTCGAGGCTGACAACAGATATACAATATAAATAAACACGTTATTTGCGGTTTGATTCTCGTGTGAACATCTGTCAGAGTTTCATGCTTGCTGATTAGTAGGTGTCCAAATTATAATAAACAAGCTACTGTAAAATATTGTTTGAATTTTCTGGTTCCTTTTTGTGGATTTTTTTGAAGCAGGGATTCACTATTGTTTGCCAAGTTGATTATGACTATAATTCGAGATATTTGTTAAGGGGTCGTTCACTTATGACGTCCATCAAAAAACCTGATTTTTAGACCCCCCCCCCCCCTCTATCACAAAAATTCTATAGAACAAAATTTCATTGTTTGAACTGTCACAAAATCCTAGACCAACCCCCCCCCCCCCCCCCCTAAATGTCGGACACTATTCTAGATCTTAAATTCTAGCGATTCTACCCGATTCTATATTCTTGAATATAGTAAAACCTATCAAATTCAATTGGGCGACAGTAAAAGGATCTGATGGGCTGCTTAAAACCTAATCTTCTTTAAAGCTTCGTTAAAGGTTAAAAAAAATTATTTCTGGATTTTTCACAGACAGTTTCAGTTGCAAAAAATCCAAAAACTTAACAATAAAACCCAGAAGTCAATTAATTGAAAAGTTATGATTCTATCCATTCTCATTAATATTAAATCTCTTAAAATTCAATCAAAAAAAGTTCTATCTCCATTCCACTTAAGAAGCTGAACAAAATTAATTCCTAAAAGTCTCATCAATTAAAACAGCCAAATGAGAGAGAGATGAAGGAAGTATATTTCAGAAGAACTTTACGATAGACGACGAAGGCACAAAAAACATTCTTTTATTATCATCATAAAAAAAAACAATTTTAAGGGAAAACTTTCCACGAATGGAAATGAGAGGAACCGGAAAATTCTCTCGAGAGAAATTTCCTCTCAGTTAATGACGGAATAACGAAGAATCATTAATGACAATGACTGTTTAATGATTGAACACAACATTAAACGTAAAAAGAGAGGCAGTCAGTCGAATAAAAAGTTTTGAGGATTGAGGAACAATTTTATGCAAGTTTTCTGGGTGTAAAAAAATTAATTCAATTGTCAATTTTTTGCACCTGGCTGATGCATTTTTTTTAAAAAAACTTTTTTTTTTCTGTCCCAGCATGAAGGAAGGAAGTAATTGAATTTTATGCAAAATTTATTCAATTTTAATTTTTTTTTGCCATGAATATTAATTCAATTTTCCGAATGTTGAAAATATCATGAAATGCAAAAATATTCAGTGACACTTTTCATGCGTTTGAATTTTAAATTTCTTTTTTGACATCGTCAATTTTTAATGGTACAGCATGCAACATGAAAAACTATCTGAATATTCAATTTTTAAAATCAGAGTTCAAACGATTCCTTTATTTGCATTAAATAAATTAAAAATTGATAATGATACTGGAATTTTGATATAATAAATCTCGTCGTTTACGGCTCATTGCTTTTGCTCGAGTTTCAAAATTATGAGAATTATTTTGATACTAATGCTGGGTAATTGGATTTTAATGATTGCTTTTCAACACAAATTAATGCGCAACATAAAATAAAGCTGAGAAAGTATGCTAAAGTATTAAACTGTTAAAACTTGACAAGACAGGAATTTGTTGCGATTTTATTGTACAAATCCGAGCGATTTAAAGCTTTACGTTGCTATTTCTGAGGTTTTTTGCTTCATGCTTGAGGATTTTTAAGCTGTCCGTATTTTTTTACGAGGCTTAAAGTTTGTTACAGGAAAATTGATTGTGGATGTCATAAGAGTTGGGAAGAAAGGCATTTTTCTGTGAGTTGACTTGAAATTTTATAAAACCAATTAGATTTGGTTCCTTTGCGACAGTAATTCAAACGTTTCATATTGATCAAGTTCCAAAAAGTCTCAATTTTAAAGCATCTAAATTTTTTGTGCATTTTTATTAAGAAATAATGTACTTTAAGATCCAATTTGCATGGCTGGCTTACTAGTTTTTTGCATTCAATAGCTACAATTAAAATACAAAAATCTTCCACAGAAAATTCTGAACTGCACGTGAGATTTTAAAGCCCAGGTACAATTTGTGCCTGGACTTATGAACCTTTAGTGAGTTTCTGGACTTATAGTCTCTCGACTTATAGTCTCTCGACTTATAGTCTCTGGACTTATAGTCTCTAGACTTATAGTCTCTGGACTTATAGTCTCTGGACTTATATATAAGTCTCTAGACTTATAGTCTCTGGACTTATAGTCTCTGGACTTATAGTCTCTCGACTTATAGTCTCTCGACTTATAGTCTCTGGACTTATAGTCTCTAGACTTATAGTTTCTGTACTTATAGTCTCTGGACTTATAGTCTCTGGACTTATAGTCTCTGGACTTATAGTCTCTGGACTTATAGTCTCTAGACTTATAGTCTCTGGACTTATAGTCTCTGGACTTATAGTCTCTGGACTTATAGTCTCTGGACTTATAGTCTCTGTACTTATAGTCTCTAGACTTATAGTCTCTGGACTTATAACCTGTTATAATCCTTCATCAATAACTACTCTGCAATAATATGGCGGCCTTAATATTTGCTTTATACTAGCTTTCAGTATCACCTATAAAAGTAAATTTATAGCTATTGCAAAAAAAGTCTTGTAGATTCCGAATTAAACTCAAAATCAATGACATCTTCAAAGCTGTTTGCAACAGAAACAAAAGTCATTAAAGTTGTGCTACAAAAGATAAAACTCCAATCTTACTGCCCTAAAATTAAAGTACCTTACAACAACACCATTAAGTCGCATGAACTTCCGAAATACTAATAATATTATTCATTCAATAAACGAAGCTTCCTCAACACCTCCATGGGCTCTTAAAATCCAAAGTATAAATCACATTTAAAAGCACAAAAAGTCACGAAAAATTTCCAAAGTTCAACAGCCATCGTCCTATAGAGACTCACAATTTTTGTACATCAAATTCATTATTTTTTAACACAAGCACTTTTTTGTGCTACACAGCAAGTGTTTTAACGATAGGGCAGATAACAAACAGCAAACAAATTTTTTACTTTCTCTCATTTGCTCTGTTGATGCTGGTCGGTCATTGTGGATGTAGAATTTTTTTTTCATTTTTTTTTATGAATAATTTAACAAAATGTTCCTTCATCAAATACACAGAATGTTCTTCCTTGTTTTATGTGCAAATCTTTCTTTTGTTCATGCTTAACTCATCGATTTTCTCGAGTTTTGTTCCTCAATTTTCCAAACAAGACACAACTTTCAAGAACAATTCTTCCATTCACAAAAATATTGGCAATGATCATGTAGCGTAAAAGTTTTTGCAAGGATGATGATAATGACGTGCATAGATCTACATTTATGCCTGATATGTCACATTCTCATTTCTAATTTTCACATCTATTTAAAATCTTCATCATGAGGAATTGCTTATGTCTATCATATTTCATATATACAATTCCATTCTTATTTCTATTTTAACTTCTCATTCCAACTTGTCACTTGAAACATTTTCTTCGTTCTTCTCCTCGTTTCTGTTTGAATGATGATAAAATTTATGAAAATAATAGGAAGAAAGTGGTAGGAAAGTTATAGTGAATCAGATGATTTCAGCGAATTTGGATGGGATGTGATGATTTAAATTAGGGCTCAAAGTTAAATCGACTCGAATCAATGTTCGTGACTGAATACCAAACACCTCCAACTTCAATACAAATACCCCCAAATACCTCGAGCCTGGACATCAAAGCTTTGAGACAGAAACTATAGCAGTCATCATCGATGAAGATTAAAATTCCGACCTAATTTTAATTTTCATCGATGACTTGGTTCTTCACATGATTT